ACATGCTTAGCCATTTTCAACCCATTTTCAAACCCATATCTGTGTCCTGTCATGCAAATGAAGTACTCTGGTAGTTTATATAACACCAAGCATTGAAAATACATCTATAAATACAACATTTTAAGTGCTTGTTTGTAAATATTTTTAGTAAGAAAACTTACCCTTTGTTAATTGGAATAAGTACATATACTTTTTGAAAAATATTGATACCTTTCCACCACTTTCTAAACTTGATGAATAAATCTTTGTTACTCACTATATAGTATAAAAGATAATAAGCACCTAGTAAACATGAGTTGGAGAAGTTCCAATCATAATAATCAAATAGTTTCAAAGTTTAGAGAATGATACATAGACCTAAATTAAAATCATTGATCTAGAGGAAGTATCCAAAGTTAAAACTATTTTTTGCACCTTTTAATGACCTTTTTGTCCCAGTTGTGCAATGAATGAAATAAAGAATTTGTCAAGAGCAAAGAGGAAGGAGTAAGTGGGTGAAGGAAACATAGATGTGAAAAGTAAAAGAGCTAGAGAAACCAGTCCAAATAAGGCTAAAGTATGCATACAGTCGAAGGTCGTGAAGCCCATAAGAAAAGTTCAAGTTGTTTACTTTTTGACTAGAAATAGCTAGCTTGAGCATCTTTATTACATGGAAGTCACCCATTTCACTAATCAACCACTTTGTTTGAAAGGTAATCCACACATTCATCTGCCCATTTGGCTACTTTTCTCTTCAAGTCTAAAATGATCACCTAATTGATTTTCTCTTATTGTTTCATAGATGTAATGGACAGATTTACAGCTTTCAGAGGCAAAAGAATGCCTTTTCTTTACTATTAGTCTTGCAAAAGGTGCATTTCCATTTTTCTTTCTAAAACCATTAAATGACTTTCTTTTCTTTTTTGTGTTTGTTTTCAACTAATTTTAGTGTTTGATTATCAGGAGTTACAAGAATGGTTATTTATGGAATGACTTAGCAGGCAATGACATTATTCCTCTATCAGATTGAGCTAAATATGTACTTAAAGGCTCAGATTTAGTTGATGGTTATTTATGGAATGACTTAGCAGACAATGATATTATTTTTCTATTAGATGAAACTAAATATGTACTCAAAGGCTTATAATTGGTTGGTGGTTGCTTTAGTAAACTACTTAATTTCCATACCTAATTTACCTTGAAAGTTTAAGAAAACTACATTATTAATCCAAATGTATGGTTGAAGGGATGATTTGTTTGTTGCAAAAAGATTACAACAACTGCAAATTAGCAATAGAGGGCCATATTTTCAAAAACCAGACCTTTATGCCAAACAAAAATCCTTAATTTTTACTTTGACTCAAAATAAGGGAGCCCAAGAAGTAGAAAAGACAGCAACATATAAAGATCAAGAATTTGATGAAAAAAAAGAATGAGAAAAAGAAAAGGAATAAGAAGAAGAAAAAAAAGAAAAAGAATAAGAAATGGAAGAGTATGAATTAGATGAGGAGAAAACATGTTACATAAGCTTAACAACTCCTCACTCTTGTTGCTCAAGAAGGGTTTCTATTAATAAACTTGAAGACCAAGAAACCAATAGCTAAGGACCCCAATAAACCATTTTTGAGATAACTCAATAGGACTTTTCCCTTCTATCAATATCTTCTATCCTCTATGAAAAACAAAACCAAAGCAAAAACATTACTTCCAAGTGGATTGAAGATGGTAACCCAGTTGCCATTGGGTCAACACCAAGTCGTAACTCGGTTCTACTTCAACTTATTGCATGTGGGAATTTAGCCATTAACAAAGCAAAGAACGTGCCTACTATAAATTAATCAGTAACACCAAACATTTTGGTGAAGAAGGGTGAAAATTTGCATAAAGGGGTTCTTTATAAAGTGCTATAAAGGTTGCTAAAGATGATCAGATGATAGGTTGCATGTATGAGAATCTAAGGTTTAGTAATTGACAAGCTGAAAAGAAGGAGTATTTCAATGGCAGTATTGTGGGGTCAATGAAATCAAAGAATTGAGTTATGGCTGATCAATTAGTGCTAAAAAAATCCAATTCCTATAATAAAGAAAGGTGACTAATTTGGTTCTTGTTTAACATGTTTGAAAAATAAATGCAATTTCTAGCTCATAGTGTAAAGAAAAAGTATGATAAAAACTTAAAATATCACATACATCTCACAGATACTGTTCTTTCTGAATTAAACATTGCCTTTATTTTCAAGTTGCTCTATCAAGTAATAAAGCTAAATGACTTAAATAGTGAAGTAATGAATTATAAAAATGTTATCTTATTAAAAAAATTATAACAGTATAACAATTCAACTCAAACACCTAGTTCAACCAGTTCAATTTGATGAAACTAGCTAAAAAATGATCCAAGAAATCCCAAATCAATATAATGTATTCATCTTACACTGCATAGAAGGTAATCATTTAAAAGAGAACAAGAAAGATAAAACCTTGTATGATATAGCTTATTTCAGGTTTTGGTATCATTTATAAGAAAATAGGACAAAACATAATAAAATTTGTTAATGTCAGCTTAGCTTAATACCACATTTTTCAGCCTTATAGCCATGAAATTCTCAAGTTCACCATTAAAATCCAAAAAGAAAAATCTCCCAAATTCTAGGGTTTTCAATTTGAATAGAACAAAATCTTTTCTCTTTTGTTTCCTCTATATTCCATTTAAATTGGTGGAATGGAAAGATTGAGGGAAGGGAAATTTAAAGTGTGGGAAGGGAGAGGATGATTTAAAAAGAAAAATTTATGGTCATTTAAATTGTGGGAATGGAGAGGGAAAAGAAATCCAATGAGAAGAATGTTCAATCCAACAACAATATTAATACAAAAAATAAAAACTATAAAATTTGATAACAAACTAACTTACATTATTACAGAAGAAATCTAGCAAAAAGAAAATGGAAATGAATTGAGGGGGGAAAACTTAGTTTTTAGGGCAAAAATGGAGGGGTTGGGTGTATTTTAGATTTTGGGACTTATTAGCTGTGTTTTTAGAAACAAATGCCACTAATTTTCACAAATTAGAGGCCTTTCTTTTTAAAAAATGCTGCTAATAGATCTAAATGGTGCATATGGGTTAAATTCTGAAAAAATTTTACTTCTTAAATTTTAGTAAATTTAAAAACAAAAGTTATTTTGTGACATTTTAAACATAAATGCTGCTAAATTTTAAAGTTTAATGGTGTTTATAACTAAAAATGTTGCTAAATATTTGAGATTAGTGGCGTTTTTACTATAAATGCCACCAAAATAAAAATTTTGTGATGTTTGTACGAAAAACAATGCTAAGTATATAAAGGTCTATCAATTAGCGGTGCTTGTTAGAAAATGTTGCCAAAAAAAGACCACCAAATCTTCATTTTCCTGTAATGCATCAAACATATAATTAGTAATTAAATTCTTAAGAATTTTTTTTGTGCATGTGATTTTAAATTGTACTATAGAAAATAATCATCTTTTATTCATGGTCTCACTTTTTTTTTAATTTTTAAATTCAAATTCGAAACATTGAAAATTAAAATTTCAAGCTCTCAATAAAATAATTTAGCACTTAGGAAGATCATTGTACACACTACAATTGAGGGGTGATAGATACTAAAACTTTTTAGTAACAGGTACTCATGCACAACACGAGTAAATTATTGAGTTCTTTTCTTAAGGTTTGGGTTATGAGATCGTACGACAAAAAAAAAAAGAAGAATAAAAAGAATGGGAGTTTTAGGAGTTTCTATTAAGATTGTCTTCTAGTTAGATTGTTTCATCTTAGTAACTTGAATTTGAATCATTCTTTTCCCTTAAAGTGGAGCAACTAATGTAAAGTATGAATATCTTAAATGCATGTATTTACAAAAGAATTAAAATGTAGAAAATCATACCGAACTGGGAAATTAAATTAAATTAAGTTAAATGTTGAATTGAAGAAAACTTGATGAGAAGATCATGGCAACAAACCAAAGAATTGGAGACGAGAAGAATACCAGCTAGAGACATCTCCAATATTGAACAGTTCTTAATTACACTTAGCCTGTTTTCCTTTTAAATATTTTTTACTAGTATATTTAGTATTAGTAATAAACTCAATCTATGATAGTTTCTAAGTTCTTAAAAGTTCATGCAAATACAATTATCCTTTTAATAGGCTGTATAAAATTTATATGCAAAGGTGGGGAATATTGCTTTTGTTCATGTATACAGGAAGTCAGTTATATTACTGATTCTTTTGTTAAGAAGGGGTTCAACGAAATTGGAATCTAGTGCCTTGCTTGTAACTCTGTTTTTTCTATTATTAATAAGGAAATTTTTTAAATGAATTTTGTGAATTTTTTTGTTAAAATGATTAATTAAAAATTCAAATTGAAAATTTAAATCCATAAATTAAAAGGTCTTATTGTATAGATTAAATATGTAAAATTTGAAAACAATAACAAATTTTTATATTTTTTTTAGGTAGTTATTTTTATTATAAATTTTTATTAAACTTTTAACATTAAGTAAATATGAATCAAATTTAAATTATAAATGATATTTTAAAATTTATATATTATTAATTTTATCATTGAACTTTATCAATCTATGAATTTAGATATTTTATTAAATTATTTTATTAAAAATTTCATCAATTTTATCTAATATATCTTTATTTAAAAAAAAACTATATTTTCCAAGAATAAGGAAATAAAAAATAGTAAAGGTTTTACACGAAGATGTACTGTAGATGCAAATTCTTGAGGGTTTTAACTAAGAGTGAAGATAAACACCTTAATATATATATATATATATATATATATATATATATTTTATATTTATTTATCAACCATTTCCAAGGCCAATTCTTATATAAAGGAAGCAACTCCTCTGTCTTTCTCACTCTCGCGTATCACTTTAAACTCAAGCTAAACCCTTTCAATCGTCGAGCTTTTACTATCTCTTCGGCAATGGCACAGCCAGAGAGTGTTGCCATAACAATTCATCCTCCCTCAACGGAAGACAAACTGATGGGTGCTGCTCGATCGGGTGATATTGGTACTTTGTATCAACTAATCGGAGAGGACGAAGGTGTCTTGAGGCGGATCAAGAAGAGGGAGTTTATGGATACTCCACTACACATCGCTTCAGCTGCAGGCAAAACTGATTTCGCCATGGAAATGATGTACTTACAGCCATCATTCGCTACGAAGCTGAACAAAGATGGGTTGAGCCCTTTACACCTTGCCTTCCAAAACGGCCACACACGATTGGCGCTTTCACTGCTGAAAATCAACAAAAGTCTCGTCAGTGTCAAAGGGAAGATGGGTTATACTCCTTTGCATTACCTAGTCATGAAAGAAACCGATGGTCGTCTTTTGACTACGTTTCTTAATGATTACCCTCGCTGTATCCAAGATGTGACAAGTCGAGATGAAACTGCCCTACACGTAGCAGCCCACCACAACCCAAGAGCCCTTAAAGTTCTACTGCGCTGGCTTACGAAAACCTCTAAATGTAGCAAGTGGCAGAAACAAGGAATCCTTAACTTCAAGAACAGGGATAAGGAAACTGTGTTGCACGTAGCTGTGTCGAACGACCAACCAGAGCCAGAGGTCAACTCTATTTTCTTTAAGTAAAAGAGAATCATTTTAATCTCCTTTTCTGCAATACATTTTACATTTTTACATTTTTGTTCTTTTGATGCAGATTATCAGGCTATTAACAGATCTTCGGATCGACACTAAAGTTAAGAATTCGAAGAGTTCAACAGCTTTGGATATCTTGAATGGCCGAACTCAGGAAGACAGTATCAATATCGAGAAGTGTGTGGACATTTTACACCATCCTTATGGTCTGAAGGCATCGGCTCGCAAAATACGATGGGTTCTTCGTGAGCTGCTTAGTCAATTGGCATATGAAATCACACATATGTCAGTTGAAAGGGGCAGCGCTTTGCTAGTAGTAACAGTACTGATTCTTACAGCCACTTATCAATCCGCCCTAAGCCCCCCTGGTGGTGTTCTTCCGGCCAGTGCTGAATCCAACGACCAAAAATTTTCGGGATTGCAAGTTTACCTAGGTTCCAAAAACACCAGTCATCATATAGTGGAAAAAATCGAATTCAAAGGAAATAACACTGCGGGATCATCAGTACTGACGACGCAAAATTTTCTTTGGTTCTTTATTCCAAACATGGTGGCTTTCTCTACTTCTTTCCTCATAACTTGTTTCGTTCTACTGACTATCGTTAGTGGTTTCTTCTCGTTCGTTCTCGCGCTATCCCTGTTGACGTTACTCTTTTGCTTTCTGGATTCTTCACTGATTATCGTATCACCAAATAATCAGTCCAGCAGAATTCTTCTCCGTTGTGTCTATTTCCTCGCCTATGCCAGCTGCCTTGGAATTGTCCCAATAGTAATTCCCAAATTGAGGAGATTTTTTCGTCAAGAGTAAGTCAAAGAAAGGATGCAACGTTGTCGTTTTTATCCATATAAACAAATTTATGACAGAAGCTAATGGATGAACCTTTACCATGTGAGGGTAACTTTTAAGAAATATAGATCTGCATCCATTCGTACCATTAACTTCTGTCATCAATTTTCTTTAAATGGATAAAATCGACAGAATCACACTATATATTTTGAGTCTATTTTTAATATTGCGAGTTTGTATTCAACTTGTTTATTTTTAATTAATAATATTGAGTTTATGTTCAATTTGAGGACCTTTATGACACATGCATTTAAAATTTTTATGAAAGGGATTTTTTTTTTTTTTAAATCTCAACCTAGGTATAAATGAAGGACTGTAAGTGCTGAAATTAAAAATTTTAAGCTTATTAGATGTTATCTTTTAAAGACATAATATAAATCATATATTTATTAGTTATGCACAAAATTACTTTTATAAAGAGGTTGACTTTGTTAAAATGCAATAATCATAAATTTTTACTGAATTGATTTATTCTCATTAATTGTCGGAGCATTTAAATTTTTATGTTAAATTAAATAATCTTGTACGAAGAAAAAGCACTACTCTATTTATTGTCATTGCAAGAAGAAATTCACTATGAATAAAATAAAAAATTTGAAGATTACAATGATGAAACTCACACATAAATGCCATCCTAAAAAAGAATACTCATCTAAGATTCTCACATATTTTTCAGTACTTAACGATAGTACACAAACAAAACCACAAAAATTATTGATATGCAATGCTTAACAATTAATGTGATATTCCAATCTTATGTCGAGATATTTTGAAAATCTATTATGATATATAAGTTGAGATTTAAATTCAAGCTTGTGAGGCACCTTTTGTAAGATAAAATCATGAGACCTTTAGGTTAAAATGGATAATATCTTGTAAGTTAGGTGCAGATCTCCATCAATAGTATAAGAGTGATTACTAGTCAAATAAAAACTAAATGCTACATTATGGGAGCCACCTTTAGAATCCCAAGGGAGTTAAATGTTACACGGTAGGAGCCATCTCTAGAATTCTAATGTCTGGTCCTGATTTTGTGGTTCTATGTGCACTATTTTAGATTCTATGTGTGCTTTGTACAGGGCTTGACAGGGATGTCAAGCTTTAATGAGAGAGTTTGTGATACCCAATCCTATATCAAGATGTTTTGAGAATCTATTATAATATATAAGTTAAAACTTTAACCCAAAATTGTGAGACATCTTTTGTGGGATAAAATCATAAAAGTTTCATATCAAAACAGATAACACCTCATAAGTTAGGTGTAGGCCTCCATGAACTTATTGTCATGCCCCAAACCCAAAGATCTAGAATGTAATAACACTACATACTCATAAGAGGAATCCCACAAGTATGTAAAGTAATAGATTTCATACTAATCAAACTTCAAAATACCATACTAATTCAAAATCAAACTCCAAAGAGTCTTTAAAAATTACGGTTTACAAAACCAAGTCTCTAAAATTCACGTGTTATACTTGATTAAAAAATACAACAATATTATAATTTTAATGTATCGAGGTACTCACATTACAAATTATATGATGACAAAGGATAGATGAAGTCTTACAACATAATCTCTTATTAAAACAAAGTCCCAAAAATGCAAATATCAAAATCTGAAAGTGAGAAAAATCGAAGGAATGAATACGATGAATTAGCGAGTAACCGACATCCACTGAGTTGGATTAAACATGCCACAAAAATATTTACGCCAAAACAATAACTAAATGATTTTGAAAATATTTTGACTAATCTTGTATTTTCAAACATATTTTCACAAATCATATTTTTAAAATCAGATTTTCATATTTCAAAATAGAATAAAATATTACAAATTTATAAATTTTATTAATCTCCTCTAACTTACTACGACCACACTTAACCCCGTGGCACAGGTTAGAACTAGAATTTCCCTTTTAGTGCAATAGGACAAAATTATATCAAAAGCAACTAGATCATCACATTGACAATCAAAATTAACCAATTAGTGCAATATAATAGAAAAAAAATCATACTAAGTCTTTTAGTGCAATGGGACAAAAGTATATCACCGATGGTACAATGAAAAAAAACCACTATTCTTAATTCTTGGCATGATTTGAAATCAGTATCTATATCATAAAGTACATATCGACATGGCTAACAGTTAACTCCCACTCCATATTAGGAAACAAAACCAAAACATATTTTCATATTACATAACATAAACAAAATCAATATTCATATACTATCTCAAAACATAATTCGTATACAACAATTTTCATATGTTATTCCAAAACAAAGTTTCATATGTCAAAAATCAATGGATATGTCAATATATTATTATGAAATCATATTCGGAGATCAAAGTAATAACAAAATCATATCTAAATTCATAACAAGAAAAATCATATATATATATATATATATATATATATATACTACATGGTCAACCCAATTTATAAAGCATAAATAAACAAAAAAATATACGTTATATATAAACTATAAACATACTGAAGTTGATTTTTAAAGAATGAAAAACCAAAAGGATATCAAGTCATTTACCTGAACTTGCTAATGATCGAAGCCAAAACACAAAGCATTCAAAACTATTCATAACTTATTAATCCAACAATATTTGAAGTCACAAACCAAAACTTATCTATTATCAAAATAATGACATGGTTTTTTTGGTGGACATTCTAAGGTATTAAAGGTTAAGCATCCTTGTTCATTAATTAAAATTAGATCTAAAAATATATTTTTGAAGTAAAAAGGATTTTATTTAATATTTCAAAGAACACTAAAATTATCCAAAAATTAAAAAAATAGGCTAAAACTCAAAATCAATATTGAACATAGTATTTGGATGAGATAAATCATGACATTACTTTAAATTTAGCTTTGTAAAATTTTTTAAGAAAAATCAAATTTTTTCTCTAAATTGACACCTCAAAGATAAATTTACAAAATATTTTAATTGATGAAAAAAATTGAATAAAATTTGTAAATTTTATACAATTTAAAACAAATTGGATCAATTATTAGGCAAAAATAATTTTCAAAATAATTTATAACTAATTTTTATAAGTTCTAAAATTTTGAATTTTCAATCATTTTACTCTACTTTGAGCAATTGTATCTAATATATTATATTAGATCCAGAGGTGAAACTATTACTAATTCAAAGTTCATATGTAAAACTACAACTTAGAATTTTGTTTCACTCAAAAAGACATTAGAAATCCTAAGTTTGAAGGCCTAAAGTTTGAAAATCATCACAAAAATGCCTAGAATGTTTGGGTTTCAGAATGATTTGGCTATCTTCAGGGCTTTGATTCTTTTGGCACAAAAATCCCTTAATTGAGCCATTTATACCAAAATCAAAATGACATTTCATACTACAAAAACTCTTAAAGAATTGACCAAAAAGCTTATCAAAAAGTAGAGTTTTGGCGACCTAAATTTGGGCTATCAAAATTGTCAAATACTCATTTTTTTTCAACTTAAAAAATATTCATACTTTTTAAAATACAAAACCAAATGAGGAGTTGCAAAGTGCATTGAAAAGGTCTTGAAGAAACTTTTCCATAGGTACCAAATATGCCACTAAAAAACCACCAAAAGTTGTGAAAAAATTGAAAACTTGAAACCCAAAATTGAATTATGAAGAAAACTAACAAAATATAAAAAATTTCATAAAAAATGAAATTTAATCTTACCTTTAAACTTGACATGCAACCTTAGAATCTTAAGACGGCAGCCTCCATCAATTGTTGCTCTCCCTTTTTTTTTATCTTGAAACTATTTTTTTGAAATTGTTTATTTATTTTTTTTAGGGTTAGAGAGAAAAGAATATATTATAATAGGGTTAAAATTTGGTAAATTACAATATCACCCCTTAAAGTGTTCTATTGTTCAAAATAATCTTTGTTGCCAAAATCATTCAAAATTTATTTTTGTAATTTAGTCACTTTCACAAATTCATCTAATAACACAACAAAATTAAAAGACCCAAGGTAACTGATGTTATGCTAAGCATTGAGTCGAGTTTCCATGATGGGTGACTTTACCTCATAAGCTTTAGGCAATCCCTATTAAGGTCTTATTTTCTTTTTTATCAATTCTCTAGCAAAACTTTTGGTTAAAAGATTCACCAAGTTTTCACTTGATCTTACATAATTTATAGTGATCACTCATTCTGAAACTAATTGTCAAACATAGTTATATCTTAATCCATTATGTCTAGACTTTCCATTATATACTTGGCTATATGCCCTTGCTAGAATTGCTTCATTATCACATCAGATAGAAATTGTAGAAATTGGTTTAGGCCAAAAAAATACTTCATGTAATAAATTTCTTAGCCATTTAACTTCTTTAGCTGCTGCGGCTAATGCAATAAACTCGACTACCATGGTGGAATTCATTATGCATGTTTATTTCTTGGAACCCCAAGAAATGGCACCCCCACAAAGTATAAAGATCCACTACCTTGTAGAAGCATGATCTTCCATATTAGGTTTCGAACCAGCATCAGAATATCCTTCTAAAATTGAAAGATATAAACCATAACAGAATCCATAATTGATTGTTTTCTTCAAATACCTAAGTACTCATTTAATTGTTTACCAATGCAAGTTAGTTGGGTTACATGTGTCCACTTAACTTTTCAATAGCAAATGCTATGTATGGCCTTGTATAAGTCATTACATATATTAGACAACAAATTACTCTTATATATTGCAACTGATCAATTGTCCTACTAGTATTAGATACTAATTTTTGTTGAGAATCCATGAGTGTAGATTCTGGAATACAATTGAAAAGATCAAACTTTTTAAGTATTTTTTCAATATAATGTGATTATGATAAGGTTATGCCAATATCATTCTGGATTATTCTAATTCCAAGAATAACATTCGCTGCACCCATATCTTTCATTGAAAAGTTATTAGATAAAATTTTCTTTGTTTCTTTAA